TTTTGGAATGTATATTAATGATAGAATAGCTTTACATGTGATTATAGTATGATTATAGTGAAAAACGAAATGCTGTTAGAATCAGTGAAAAAGGGGATAAAAATGGTCTAGATTTGACCAAACTTTGACCAACGAAGACCCTGGTCAAATAGTTGACTTTTTTCCTGAAATTTGGTATGCAAATAGATCTTATTTTTCCCTTTAAAATGAGTGGTAAAGCGTCACAATCGGAGCTCTGTGTAAGAAGTTATTCCTTTTCAAAGTTAGGCAAAAATCTTGGAAAATAGAAAAATGACCAAATGAACAGTACTTTTCGAAATTTAAAACGGATGCGTTTCTGATTAAAGCGGAACCTAAGGTCATTTTTCCTTGATAGATGATGTTAAGAGCTTCGAGTGAGACTTGGAACGACCTTGTTTCGATTGTTTTAGAATTAGTTATGATTTTCCAAAGTTATGCTAAGTTTAATGTTACGGTGAATAGTAATGCGGGAAAAGAAATTTTCAAATTCAGGTTTTTCAACCCGGTAACCTTAAATTGCGCTTCCGAATGTCTTAACTTGGCACAATATAAGGTCGTAAACGTAAGGTGTTACATTTATGGTATCAGAGCAAATGGTTTTGGCACTCAGAACAAATTTTTAGAATTTGTATGCTCTGAATCTTGAGGAAAGCATGTGATAGTGCCTATTAATGAGTTCATTTGGTCATTAATTACTTTTAAAAAAAGATTTAAAACTCATACCTAAAAGTTACTAGCCATGCATGAAAATCTCAACGCTTTTTCATGAATCTATAATAAGGGATGTAATATGTCTTTATTCAATACAATTCTAAAAATCGTCAAAACACAATTTATTTTATTTGTGGGATTTTATACAAATCACATATGTATTTAGTACCAATATTTAATTTTATCGTGTCCATACTCAGACTTTTAAACTCATTGCTTTTTGAGAGTCCAGTCTAATATCTTCTACGACCTTCGAGGATTTTTTTTGAAGCAGCTTCCCTCCCCAAACAAGTGTTTGTGAATAAAGATGTATCGCGGCCAATAACATAAGTTGAACACATCAAGATTATAATCTTGTCTTGTCAAATCCAGCTCTAATTGAGTAACGGCGCGCGACTTGCCAAATATAGGCTGACCCATCACTCTTTCGTATTGCTGTTTGTATCATAAAAACATCTTAATTATTAGTTAGTGTAACTAAATGTGTAAAAAGAAATTTATTATTGTCCCACTAACAATTATGATTCCAGGCAATAGCTTTAGTACACTCATCTGGTTTGAGTTGTCACATCGATTTGTTAAAATCGCAAATCTTGACAACGACAGATCCATCATTCAATGTCAGTATGGCAATATTCCATGGATTTAACATTCAAAAAAAATAAAAATACATAAAATAAAATTCTCATTTTTTTAAGGGTAAGTGAAAGAGAATTGATTTTGGAATGTTTATGCAAGTAGAGGAGAAGTAGAAATCCGGCTCTGATACCAATTAATACAAGATGGGAGAGGCAAACTGAGTTTTTAAAAGCTTGTGCGAGAGTAAAAAAACAATATAACTTTAATACCAATGGATGTATGTTGGGGATATCAAAGAGATTGATTTTGAAAGGTTTCAACAAGAGTAGATGAAAAGCAAGAATCAAGCTCTGATACCAATTGATGCAAGACAAAAGGGGCGCGGAAGAAAAAATAAATGTGCAACATTCTTGAAGATATACTAAATTTTTCCTTAAATAGAAAGATATTAAAAAAATTTAAGCCTTTTATTTTTTGCTAGAAGCATAATGAGTAGCTTCAGAAACCTGTTTTTCAGATATTCTACACGTGATTCATGCTTGTCATATTTCCTTTGAAAAATCAAGAAAGTAAAAAAAAAATTAAATGTGAATATGTGTGTGTGTGTGTTAATATATATTATTAATTACTTTTAAAAAAAGATTTAAAACTCATACCTGAAAGTTACTAGCCATGCATGAAAATCTCAACGCTTTTTCATGAATCTAGAATAAGGGATGTAATATGCCTTTATTCAATGCAATTCTAAAAATCGTCAAAACACAATTTATTTTATTTGTGGGATTTTATACAAATCAAAGCAATTCAAAACCAAATCACATATGTACTTAGTATCAATATTTAATTTTATCGTGTCTATACTCAGGCTTTTAAACTCATTGCTTTTTGAGAGTCCAGTCTAATATCTTCTACGACTTTCGAGGATTTTTTTTGAAGCAGCTTCCCCCCAAACAAGTGTTTGTGAATAAAGATGTATCGCGGCCAATAACATAAGTTGAACACATCAAGATTATAATCTTGTCTTGTCAAATCTAGCTCTAATTGAATAACGGCGCGCGATGTAGAAGGCAACATTAGTTCCTCAAGCTGCTCAGGGACTTGCCAAATATAGGCTGACCCATCACTCTTTCGTATTGCTGTTTGTATCATAAAAACATCTTAATTATTAGTTAGTGTAACTAAATGTGTAAAAAGAAATTTATTATTGTCCCACTAACAATTATGATTCCAGGCAATAGCTTTAGTACACTCATCTGGTTTGAGTTGTCACATCGATTTGTTAAAATCGCAAATCTTGATAACGACAGATCCATCATTCAATGTCAGTATGGCAATATTCCATGGATTTAACATTCAAAACAAATAAAAATACATAAAATAAAATTCTCATTTTTTTAAGGGTAAGTGAAAGAGAATTGATTTTGGAATGTTTATGCAAGTAGAGGAGAAGTAGAAATCCGGCTCTGATACCAATTAATACAAGATGAGAGAGGCAAACTGAGTTTTTAAAAGCTTGTGCGAGAGTAAAAAAACAATATAACTTTAATACCAATGGATGTATGTTGGGGATATCAAAGAGATTGATTTTGAAAGGTTTCAACAAGAGTAGAAGAAAAGCAAGAATCAAACTCTAATACTAATTGATACAAGACCAAAATGGTGTAAAAAATGTGTAACATTCTTAAAGATTTACTAAAATTTTTTCCTGAAATAGAAAGATATTAAGAAAAATTCAAGCTTTTTATTTTTTACCTACTTAATTAATTCATGTTATAAAATATGAAAGTATTGAATAAGTTAAGTAACTAAAAGAATATAGACCAAATATATCTTTAAGAAATTTCCTCTATCATAATTCGTAGTAAAACTTTAACGCAAAGCATTTGTTAAAAATACCTCATTTGCATCAAAATACAAGATTAAAAGTCTTATAATTATTTCATACAAGTCACGTAATTTCTACCTATGATAATATTCAAACTTCAAGATCTTTTGTACTTTATGATATGACCAACTATGTCAATGACTGCAATCAAAATTAAAAATATAGAAAAATAGAAAGTTTATTATTTCATGTAAGGTTCACATATAGCAATATTTATACAAAGGCAAGATAATAAAATGTTTGAATGAACGTAAATATGATAAATACCTAGTGGATAAATTCTATATCTTATGAATATAAATATGAGAGCCAGGCTAGATGTTGCCACTAGCCATAAAATAATATAGTTCTATAGCCCATTAGATGAATATGGAGAGGCTTCTAAGATATTGGGTATATCTTAACATATTCTTTTTATTTTTTGTGCCAACATTAGAACAAGGTAAATGAACAATCCAATCATTATTCAGTAAAAAACTAGTTGACATACAAAGATGTGAAAGTGAAAATGTTTCATTTTATGAACAGGTCCCACAGCTTAATATAGTAAAGAAAATGAGTACGATTTTATCAACATGCTGCTTATGAAAAGAGCAATTCCTCTTCAAGTGTGATATGCTTAATATAGTAAAGAAAATGAGTACCCTTTTACCACCATGCTACTTATGAAAAGAGCAATTCTACTTCAAGTGTGATGTGCTTGTAGTGTTTAATCATATGTATTTTTATATATTATAATTGTGAACTAAAACCCTTGAAGGTAGATTAAATTAAATTGTGTGTATTTAGACTAAAATTTGAACTTAACACTACTAAACAAGCCAAGAAAAAATATATAAAATTAGTTTTTTAAAAAAATGAAAAAAAATATTGTTGGCTTATCATGCATATGTATAAATAAAATTAGCGAGTTTATTTTTTAAAAACCTTATCATAACAATTTTTAAACATAATTTTATAAGTTAAAAACATAATATATCATTCATTTATCATATATATTTTTGAATTTTTGATTTTTAAGTAGTTCTTCTTTATTCTCTTCTTATATCAAACGGGGCATTATTAAAATACTCTTCCAAATGATTATTAAAATCTCTCTCCCCTCCTTCTTTTCTTGAGCCAAACATAATGTAAAGATTTCACTCACAAGTCACAAGTAACACCAAAGTATAAAATAAATAAATAAAATGATTCAATATTTTGGGAAAAAAAACCTCCTAAACTTAATGTTGACTATGTCCACGTTTTTTTTCATCTTATGTCCACATTTTTTCATCTTTCATTACCATGTAAAAGCTTGAAAAGCTTGGACAAAGTGTTTAGTCTTCTGTTTGTTCCTCTTATAATTGGTTCTATCATAGCCCTTTATTCATTTAAAAAAAAAAAAAGAAAACCCCAGGGTTCCACCCAGATGCATATAATGGAAGCATCGTCCACATCATTTAATAAAACTCTACTTGATTATTTATTTATTCAAATTATTAACGTCAACGGTGTTGAAACATGCCTAACCCGCCATGTCTTCATTATAACTCCACTAATTTATTCCAAGTAATTAAAACCCTCCCTTCTCCGTCACATGATCTTCTTGCTAGTTTGTCATCCCTTACGTAGGTAGGAACAATATGGCATATTTTATTGAATTAAAAAATTGAAACAAGCAAATACAGGTAATTAATGAGATAGGCATATCTTAATTCATAATTCATTTTTTTAAGTCTTTCGTTTTGTTTAAGGATTAAGAAATTATCCCTTCATTATATAAACTGATCTTAAGCTGCTCTGGTTCAGTCGTCTATAAAATCTTAACTTTCTGGACTTTGCTTTCAGTTCTCACTCCTCAAATCACCAGGTATCAGCTCTGTCTCTCTCCCTCCACATCTAAAATCTGGTTTGAATTTTGAAGAAAACTTGCATTCTTTTTGAATTCTGGATCACTTTGCATTTTCAGGATTCCTTTTTTTTTTTTCAAAAAAATAATATTGAATTATGAGTACCAGCTAATCGACTGGTTGTTGTCTTGTTTAATCAGATCTTGACGAAGAGAAGCTTTCAATCTGAAGCCATGGCCCTGGTGAGTTATATTTGGTTTCCTAGTGACCAAAATCTCTCTATATTGTACAAATTAAGCTCCATTTTTGGAAGTTATATGCTTTTCATAACTTCTGTAACTTTCCGTAGCTTTTGTATATAAAAGTCTGGCTTTTATTGATCGAATTGGCTCTCGTCTAGTTCTATGATACTTTTTCGGTTCTTAATATAAGATTTATTTAGATAATCTAATTGGATTAAGGAAGTTATGTAAGTTAGTTAATTATAAGAAATATGACATGTTTTTCTTAAAACACCATAATCATTTTTCTTAATATCTTCCCTCCCCCTTTCACTTGATTATAGTTAAGAGAATATCCATAAGGATAATTTAGAAAAAACTGATAAATATGATAAATAAGTTTTATATTTAGGACCAAGATCAACTCACCAATTAAGCCATATATTAAGAATTGGAGGAGTATTTAGAAAAGTTTTAACTTATAGAATTGTATGGAGTTTATGAAATTTATTGTTTGGTTTAAAATATCTCATTAAAATATAATTTGCTTACTTGTTATTATTGTGTTTGTGCAGATCTTGCACGCACGCAAAACAAACAAAAATACATACAAGATATTCATAACAGCAGAGTATAGTGGTGTGGAAGTTAAATTGGCACCAAATTTTGAGATGGGTGTTTCTAATAAAACTCCTCAATATCGCAAGATGAACCCTATTGGCAAGGTATTATTTTTTTTAATTATTATTTTATATTTTGGTTGGGAAAAGGAATTTTTTTTAAAATTAATTGATTAATTAAACTTTACTAAAAGTTACATTATTGCGCTTTCAGGTTCCTGTGTTGGAAACTGCAGATGGTCCAATCTTTGAGAGTAATGCTGTTGCTCGCTATGGTAACAAATAAGGCCATTCATTTATCACTGTTAAAATGTTTTTCTGTTGTTTATTAAAGGGAAGGAAGTATCTTTAGGTATTTTTCTTTTTATAATTATTTTCTTTTGAGTCGATGCAGTTGCTCGATTAAAACCTGACAATGCTTTGTACGGGTCTTCTCTCATTGTTCACGTAAGTTTTCTACCAATTAAACAGTTTTAAATATAAAAGTTGAATAACTAATTTATCGAAATTAAGCAAATCAACCGACCTAATTATTTTAATCATCTACTTTGAAGTGAATTAAGATATGGGAGAATTAGAACAAAAGACCTATAGGAAAAAATATTTGGTGCAGAGGGTCATAAAAATTATAATTATTTTAAAGGACCATATATTAAGATATAATTTTAAAAAGACTAAATTGCCCATAACTAATCCTCTTATATTCTCTCACGTGATATCTCAATTATTTGACAGTTAGTGAGTTTTCTCCTTTTTCACTAACCCACATCTCATTCCACACAGATTATTTGATTAATTTATTATCAGTTTGTAAGTCTGCAACCATATTTTTACATCAGGTGCCCATTCCGACGTGCCCCAAAATAGGTGACCAAAAATTGATTCTTCTCAACCTGCAAAATCAAACATGATATAGTTCAATCCATTTGCCCACAAAAACTCCATAATTTGTTTGAGAAAAATGCTACTCGTTAGTGTTAAGTGCTTGACCCCTCCCAACAAAGCTCCTCAAATCACAGACAGTATCTCCTTCGACATAAGAGACAAAAAAGCAACCAACAAAATTAACCCCTTAGATCAAATGGAAGTTGTGTGGAAGTTAACATTTTATAAGAATTAAACTAACATTGCCTCAAATCTTTAAACTAACATTTTATAAATCTTGATCCATTTAGGATTTTCCCCCCCTTAAATGAAAACAAGAGCGGCGGCAGAGGGAACGAAGCGGGCGGGGTCAATTTAGTATTTTAAAATTTATATTTTAACATTTGGTCTTTTTAAATAATTCTAATTTCTATGGTTCTTTTTACTAAATAATTTTCTCTACATGTCCTCTCTTCTAATTTTCCTTTAAAATTTTGTATTTAAAATCAAAGCAAAGTCCCCAACTACTTGTTACATTTAAAATTGGACGGAGTATTTATTTTTCGTAGTTCCTCTCAGTCTAGATATTCCAGATGGAGGTGGCATTTCTTGCTAGTTTCTTTTGGTCTTAACATCGTCTGTTATTTTTTGTGTTTCAGGCTCAAATTGAACAGTGGATTGACTTCTCCACATTAGAGATTGATGGCAATATTAATGATTGGTATAGGCCAAGAATGGGACAAGCCCCTCATCATCCTCCGGTAACATGTTCTAACAACTCTTCCATTTACATATATGTGAGTTTTGATTATTGTGTTGAGCAATTCTGATGTTGTCAATTCTAATAACCTAATGTTTATTATTATTATTTGTTAAACTCATGAGTTGAATTCTTAAATGAACTAATTTTGACTTTTTACACTTAAAAAAAAAAAAACAGAATCAAAGCGCATGCAAACTCGCCCATAATTTGAAACTTGGTCAAAGCTAATGGTGGCTGGCTTAAACTTGATAAGATTCATGTTTTAATTTGAGATGGACAAGTTTAATCTGGAAATTTTTTTGTTAAGTTAAGATAATGTTCATTGTTGAATCTACCGGCCCTTTATATGTGTGCCTAAATTCATAAGATTGACAACTATATCATTAAAATATTTTATAAGCAATGGTGCTCATTGGTACCATAAGATCTAAATAGTCTAAATTATTTCTTTTAAATAAACTAAATTCAAAGTTTTTAATATGTAGTTTTGTAAACGATAAACTTACTCTTCTTTTTTAAGATTTCGTGTATATTAAAATAAAAAATTATTTAAAATTTTAAAATTAAATTAAATCTAAATTTTTACCAAAAAATCAAATCGTAATTATCTAAAATCAATTTGAATGATTTACATTAATAATCAGCATTCCATTAATATCATCATGACGTACATAATTTCATGAAGGACCCAAAAATTTTAGGATGCAAAGAAAACACACTCATGTATTGATGTGTGTGTGTGTGTGTGTTGTGATTTTTGCAGCGCGTGTGTCTAATTCCATTAATATCATCATGCCTTGAGATTTATTTAATTTGGTGTGAAATTTTGTGTCTTGATGAAGGTTGAGGAATTTAAAATTTCAGCATTGAGGAGAGCACTAGGGGCGTTGAACACTCACCTTGCTTCTAACAAGTATCTGGTTGGCCAATCTCTGACGTTGGCTGACATTATTATGACTTGCAATTTGTACAGAGGTTTCACTCGCCTCATGACCAAGAGCTTCACTTCAGAGTTTCCTCATGTTGAGAGATACTTTTGGGCCTTGGTCAATGAGCCCAATTTCCACAAGATCATTGGTGAGGTTAAGCAGACTGAGGCTACTATACCTATATTGCCTCAACAGAAGCCCAAAGAATCTGCCAAGCAGGCCCAACCAAAGTAGGTCCAATAAGAGATTGAGAAGCCCAAAGAAGAGGCAAAAGAGGAGGAGCGATGCATAAGCCTCATGAAAAGTTAGTCTTAGTTGGAAGGGTGTTTAATTAACCGTGAGGTGTCTTTGTTGAGTAGAACTTAGTTTCTTGTTAACTTTGTATTGAATTCTATGATGTGGTTTGGAATTAGTCAATTGCATCCTCTATGTGTGTGTTTTTATCTAATTATGATATGTGAATCTTTCATAAAGTCATTTTTTCTCAAGTCATTTTTTCTCGAAATATATTCTTTATATTCATTTTGGTGGACTCATTAGCAATGCTTCTGCTTTGCTTTTGAGAAAAGCTTCTGCAAGGCTTCCTTAAACTTATTAGTGGTCCTTGCCATGTGCCCTAAATGAATATGTAAAATGTGCATTAGTAAAATATATTTACGTAATAATGTTAATTGAAATTGAGAGACTGTAAATATGGATGATCTCAACTAATTAGTGTTATTAAGAAATTTATAACTCATGTCAAATTATTAAGGCTTAATAAAAAAAAAGGGGCCTTACTTTGAAAATTATTTTTAAGAGGTTAATTCTACGGTTTGAACCCATGACCTTTTAGTCATACAAAAATAATTTAACCAATTACTCTAAGATTTCCCTTCATTTTTCTATTTAATAAAATGATCAATTTTTTTTTTTTGTATAGTTAAATGCATTTAGGCATAACGTGCAGGTTATTGACAACTTATTATTGAAAATTAATGCAATTAATCCAATGAACTTTTTTTTAATAAATTTAATATACACATGCACACATGCAAACATACCAATTCTAAGTTTGGATTGTGAGACTTCATCCAAGTGTGACAAGTGGTATTAACATTAGTACAACTAGCTGTTGACATTTTGGCACGAATTTGTCATGAACTATAGTATTATACTATATAGAATGTAGTGACATATAAAAATTAATTAATTTCAACTAATTAGATTAATTTTGAAGGAAAAGGAAAAATTTGGGAAAAAGTCCGTTATGTTAAGTAAAATGTAAGAATTACAACAAAAAATAAATCTACATAATGGAAGTTATGTGTATTAATTATAGAAAATTCATAAGAAACCATTTAGGTATAGTGGATATTTTTTGGGCTTAAAGGTTCTAGTGGATATTTAAGTATAGAATTCCACAAAACAATTGCTCGGAAGCTATAAACATTTGCTGTTAGCACTGTAATATTTATTGTGAAAGTCCACCGGTTGTACAAAATAATCTCCTTCGTTGTTCCATTCTTCAAGAGAAAAAACCCCGTCGATTCGCTGGTGCTTGAAGAGGAGCCAGATCTCGAAACTTCAGCCCGCATTTTGCTGGGGAAGAATAAAAATCTCTGAACTTTCGTTCCGTGCTTATCTTCATCGGCACTTCAATCTCCGCAGTAAAGGTCTGCTTCGCTGCTCGTTTTTATTCGGTGATTTCTCTCTGTGTTGACGTGATGAAGAAGTTGATTTTACTGGTAATTTCTATCTCCGACTGGTCGGTTCCAGTTAGGAAAGTAGAATGCTTTAAATTCTCATATCTAGAGGCCGAAAGTAAAATGTTACAGTTTGTTTGGATGTTGTGAAATGAGCTTTGCTGTGATGTCCATCAGAAATTGATTGCTGATAAATCTGTGAAATGAATAAGTTTCATTTGAACACCATGTAACGTTTTACATCAACTGAGAGGGGATTTCTTCTGATGCAAAACACACATCCGCACGCAGGACTAAGTTATTTTACTTAGTTTGCTGAGTTGCAAGTCTTTAGCAGTCTGCATATGCTATTTCGTGAAGGTGTAAATGGGATACAGATAGCCCTCACCAAGATTGATACGTTGTCGGCACTCTCAGGGTTCTCTTTTATTTAGGTTGGGTTATTTACATTGCTTTGTACTAGGAATTTGTGGTTGCATTAACTTCGATCTTTTGTTTGTATTATTTATTACGGAAATTTATGGATGTTTTCAATTCTAAATTTTATATTTTAAACATAAAATTTTGTTCTTGATTTTGTATTTTAGCTTTATCACTTTGTTTTTTCTAATTGTACGAAAATTTAGTTAATCTATATAGTAATTATTACCTTGCATTTGAATTCCCTCATCATTGTGTGGAATGGGGACAAAGTGACATGTCCTCCGTCGCAAGGAATGGGTAGACAAGGGGATATTTTGTAATATGATCCTTTCTACAATCTTATTTTGAGTTCAAAAGTGTTATTTTGATGTACAAAATTTTTTACCCCTTATTAAGTATGTTGATTTTCATTCTACTCCATGGCAGTGAGCTGGTGATTCATGGCTTTACCCTCCAAACTTCCATACCAGCTCAACCTCTTCCGAACTTTTTTGAATGCAAAAGTCAAATGGGTTCGAGACCCATATCTTGACTCTGTGGTGGAGAAAGAGAAGAATCTCAAACAGGCAATTTTCCTCATGAACCATATTATTTCATCTCCTTCTGAATCTCTTCCCGTCTCCACTGTTTCTCTGTTCAAATCTCCTCTCAACCTTCCCACCACGACAGCCAAATTCATTGATAAATATCATTCAATCTTCATGCAATTCCAACCCAGACCTGGACTACCTCCTCATGTCAAGCTTACTCCTCCAGCCTTGGCCCTCCACAAAGAAGAATTGGCCATTCATAGCTCTATAAACATCCGTCAAGATATTGTTAAGAGGCTTACAAGGTTTTTAATGCTTGCTGGCATTTCAAGATTGCCCATTTATATAATTGACAAGTTCAAGTGGGATCTAGGTCTTCCTCATGATTACATAACAGTGCTTTTGGCTGATTACCCTGATTACTTTGACATTTGTGGAGTGGAAGATCCATTGACAGGGAAAGAAGTGCTTGCCTTAGAGATTGTTTCGTGGAGAAAGGAGCTTGCTGTGTCTGAGTTGGAGAAAAGGTTAATGAACTCGTATTATGGTGGAGGAAAAAGAAGGCATGATATTGCATTCCCAATGTGTTTGCCAAAAGGTTTTGATTTGGAGAAGAGGGTTAAGACGTGGTTTGAGGAGTGGCAATCATTGCCTTACATTTCTCCATATGAAAATTCATTTCATCTTGAACCAAATAGTGACCAGGCTGAGAAGTGGGTAGTGGCGATTTTGCATGAATTACTTTGCCTTCTTGTGTCTAAGAAGACAGAGCGGAAAAATTTGCTGTCCTTAGGAGGGTGTTTGGGGTTGGAGACAAGGTTTAGGAAGGCTTTGGTTCATCACCCAGGAATATTTTATATTTCAAATAAGATTAGGACTCAGACTATCGTGCTTAGGGAGGCTTATAGAAAGGACTTTTTGGTTGAAAAGCATCCATTAATGAGCACGAGATATTGGTACATTCATCTCATGACAAAAGTTGAGAATTACTTGAAACCTGCTAAGATGAGGGATAGTCAAGAAGTTAAAGCCTAGGAATGGAACTGGACATGTTTTGAGCTCAACTAGTTAAACTGACAATTGGTTATGTTTTTCTAAATAAAGATATGGGCTTTGTAAGATATTACTGAGATGTTTATGGAAGTTAACAATGTTGTAATTTCCTACTGCTAGAACTGGAGGGTTACTCCCTTCAAGTTTCTTTGCAATTCCATATTCCCAAGTGGTTGACTTTGTTTTGGCATGTAATATATGGTGAAGTAGATCGTTATAGATTTGAACTCTAGCTTCGCCAATTTCTTGAGAGCAGGCCACAATGAGTTTCCTTGCAAATCCCTTTACTCTCGGTGTGGATGGCTTGCCTTTGTATGAGCCAAGGAGGTGGATTAATTGAAGTGGTTGTAAGCTGACTTAGATACCACTTCAATTCTGTGAAAGAAAACTTTTCAGCACTTCTGTCACCAATTTCTGTGGCATCTTTATAAACAGTGATTTCTTGATCCTTCAGAAAAGTGCATTTGATGAAGACCTGCACTTGATATTCTATGACAACTTGCTACGTGGTATGTTAGTAGTTTGCAATATGAGTGTCAGGAAATGGATGCCAGGGCTTCTCTTGTGGCATAGCAGGGACAGGGCCATCTTATAGGATGGTTTATTATTCTACTTTGGATAGTTCGTGACCTATTCCAAAAGCAATGTTTCCTCATTCTACTCTATAAAGAGCCATTTGGAATGTAATCATGATTGCTCTGGCTTCTGTTTGAGATATTGCCATTTGAAACGTAATTATGTAGTCATGTTAGGTGTACTATCATTTTCCTGTTTATTTCCATAATGCTTGTCTAACTTTTTAGAGTCATAAAAAACTAAATAATTGTTCCCCCCCTCATGTTAATCCACTATATATATGATAAAACAACAAATGAATGGAATTCCTTTTCAGAATGTTTAAGAAGATTAATGATCTCCATAGCACACATGATATAAAGGAAAATTCAGCAAGAGGAATTCTTCTGTAGGTTCTCCACATATCCCTTGGCCCTTTCAATTCACTGTCTGCCGCCCTTCCTGCCCAATCTGTCTTGATCTCCTCTCTTCTGTTTCATCTTCACTGTGATCATCTGAGTTCAGCATCACGCATTTTGCACCTTTGCCTTCTTTCTTGTCTTATAGGTGTTCTCCATGGTTGTGGTTTTGTCTCTGACTGTCATCTCTACTCTCACGTTTGTGGCTCCATAGATCTGCAGCTAGGGTCGACAGTCCTCTGTTGCCTGGATCTGCAGGTTCCTCCTCTTCTGTCCTCTCCTCCACTATTGTCATGTCCTCCTTCATTTGCTTTGAGCTTTGCCGTCATTATTCCTTCTTCCTCTCCTCTCTCCTATTGTCACCAGTCCCTCTTCATTTACATGCCTCAAGTTTGTGTATGTGTCATTCACCGATGAAAGATGATTTTTTCGGTAATGATATTTTTTTGGTGCAAATTTATTTGTCAGCGAGGTTTGAATTGTTAGATTTCTTCTTTCCCACACTAGAATTTGGGTTCTGGATTTTTTCTAATTTTTATTGTTTGAATGAATTTCAAGGAATAATAGTAAAAATAATTGTTGGTTTGGCTGAACAGTCTCCCAGCCTGGGAGACCGAGCTGGATCCAGTCCAACACCGAGTTTGTTCTGGGTTGGACCAAACCATGGTCTAACATGTCAAGGCCAAAGGGATTTCAAACCAAACCTTGGGTTAGATAGAAATCCGGTCTGGTATGTTTGTCATGCAGCCCTATCTATCTATACAGGCCTAACTTTCTGTGTTTGCACATATTTGGAGACAGTATGTTCAACTTAAATTTATGTTATTTACTTTCATATATTTATGAATGTTGTCCATCTATAATGCGCTAGTTTGAGGCTTGCCGGGGGAAAAAAAATTGTGATGTGTGTGGGATAAGCTATACCTGCAATTTACTTTTTCTTTGTCTTGGCATGGTTTCAAAGTTTCCGTTAATGAATTTTCCCTAGTTCATCTCTGTTATTCAATTGAGCAAGAGTGCAAGATCCAGTTATTTGTTATTTCTGCTTATTTGTATTGTCATTCAGCTGCAGATGAGAACATAGCAGGCATGAAAATGAAAATATGCAGTGGATGGCGTCGGTTTCTGTTTGGTCTTCCTCTTATTTTCTTTCTTCCCCATCTGTTATCTGGTGGGTTATTCCTTATTCACTTATATTTGTCAAAAATATCTTGTCGTTTGATGTATTGTGGTTGCCTTACTAACAAATTTCATTCCCATTGTATCAGTCATGGAGTTGCACCAAAACTCAAGCATGCAGGAACCCCAGAAGAAACTTCAAAAGAAATTTGATCATCTGGTTCTTGGTTCTGCTGCTGGTCAAGGCTTGGCTAATCGTTTGCAATGCCAAGGTTCTCCAATTCTCTTTATAAAATAGTATTTTTTTTTTTTTATTATATGGTGGATAAGAGGTTTTAACCTCTTTTCAGTTGTTAACTAGTCACAGAAAATATGGTAGTAATTTGAATTTAGGACCTTGTGCTTTAGTCCCTCCTAATCAAAGCCATATTACTATTGAGTTATCTGGGAACATTTTATCCAATTGAATAGGCTTCTTTCCCTGACACTTCATAATGATTGTAACTTTGCTCTCTTATTGTTATTCACTGTAAATATGCTCACGACATTTTGAAATCATCACACTCAGTTCCGTTATACATGCTTCAACCTTAGTTTTGCAAATATTATTAACAGATACTGAAACTTATTGACTCCTTGTTTAAGTTGTTTTGTAGGTGAAAGCAGCATTATTTCTTGTGTTATTATTAATAAGTTGAATTTCATAGCATTATGTAAAATTGTTTTTGTTTATTGTTTCTAATACGCATCCTAATTTTCAAAATTTCTTTCTGATATCTGAAAATATATAGTAACTGAACTATATAAAACGAAAAATCTATCAAACTTTTAGGGATTAATTAATTATGCAATTCTTGGCGCAAGGGAGCTTGGAAGTTATGAAACAGCTATTGGATATGCTATTAGATAAAGGGAGCTTGCATAATTTCTTAGATGCTAAAATAGCTTGGTAATTAAAGCTCATGGTACGATAGGCTGAGAGACTAAACCTCATGGTTGCTAATCAGTAGAAGTGAATGATCTTGAAGAAGTTTGTGCATCTGGAATGATCAGTGCAGGGCTGTCATTCATGGTAAATGTTATTTTTATGTAGATGAATCTGTAGTTCCAAGTTAGAACTGGAAGATTACAGGTTTACATTATGAAAAATAAATGGAGAAAGAAGTGAAATAGGCGTCCTCTAGCTTCTGAGATGCACGAGACTGTGCTCAAAAATCGATTCTTCCTCAAACCCTCCCATGCTTCGAACTCCACAACTTATTCCCTCTCAACGGCTCCCAATCCCCCCCCCCCCCCAAAAAAAAAAAAAAAAAAACGACCCCCTAAAAAGAAAAGGAAAAAAAGCCCTTACCTCACAACCCATATGAGGTGGTTGGTGTTATTTCCTTTTTTGACCCTTCCAGATGCCTCAACTATTATAGCAGCCTTGAACCCCCAATTACACCTATTATTTCTTACCGTAGATTTTCAGCATTTCAGGTCCATCATTAGTACTATTTTTCTCAAGGGCTTTTACTTCGTCATTGATGTTAATTAGGCAATATTACAATTATATTTTCATGATGTTTTTCGTTTGACATTTGTATAGTCTCTTCATTATTTAAGTAAACTAGCATTGGCCTGTGCAATACGGCATGAGATGCTAAATTATTAAAAAAATTGCACATAATTCCATGCGATAACACAGCTAGTATTCTGGTTGTTCAATTTTATATATATAATGATGATGATTCTTATAATGTATTTCACCTTTTTTAACAGTCTCTTTGCATTTTCCCTTTTAATCCTTTTTGAAACAATGCACAGGAACTAAGTCTCTCAACAAGACTCACTCTTCTCATAATGTGTCACGTGCTGAGGACATTGCATTTGTCACTGTCTTTACCATTTACAATTCTTCTGCTAGCAACGTAGATGATAGATCATCAAACACAGTTATTGGGGATTCTTCATATAATAAGGTGCAGAGGTCAATGGCCGTGTTGAATGTCTTCATTAACTTCGTTCAGGTAGTTATTAAGTACAACTTGTGAAAGTTATTGCCATGTTACCATAGGCTTATTCCCCTACAATTGCATGCTAGTTCTGTAATGAGGTTTGTGGCAACTTTAATGCTTTCTGGACCAGTTAATGCCCAGGATTTCATACTTTGGTGTTTACTAACTGGAATTAGTAATATGTTATTGTCTAAAAAGGTAAGTCCTTCATGAACCTTGTTCTGCCATGAGCATCATATGTTCTGCTACCTAGTCATTTGTTAGCTACTAAAAAATATGTGATTGATACTGGAGCCTGGCTTGGGAAATTAAAACTAAACTTACCTTTGGTAGCATACAAGCTGAATTTTATGACATTCAAAGTAAGTTAATTGCTTTCACCATTAGCAAAGAGAGGATAGGCCTCTGGGTTCGTTTTCTTCTCACTTTCACAGAGAAGTATTCAGTGCATTTGATGGGCCTTTACTGGAAATGGAATGTTTACTTGAGGAAAGGGAAAAAGATAAAGCCCTAAAAAGTGAGGCTGGGGGAGGTGTCGAAAAGGGAAGTACTAATAGGGAGAGGGATATTGCCTTTTTAACCACGCAGTTTGAGCCAAGATGGGTTATTGGCCTTTCACTAACTTGTGGAATTACAAGAGAAGTTGGGGAGACATCTTGTTAATGGACGATTAAGTTGGAGGAGACTGGATCCAGGATGGGTTAGATGGGATGTTGATGGCTCTATCAATCAAGTCAGTGAAGCAACTTGTGGACGACTAACACACGATGAAAATTGCAATTGGAGATGTGAATTCATGAAGAAATTAGGATTTTACGCAAATAGTATTGTTCAGACATAGGATCAAACCTTCTCAAAAAGGGTGTTTTTAAATTCTATGGAAGCTCTTAATAATATCTCAAAAGTTCATGGCATAAGTCACCCAGCTTTCAGCATAGTTGAAGATATAAGAAGACTTCTTATGTGCAATTGGGAAGTCACTAGTGATCATATATTTAGGGATGCCAACATTTGTTCTGACTAGTTTGTGTGTTATGCCCACACTATTGAAACAGACGATGCTCATGTCAGAGCTGCCAATTGAATGTGGAGATATTATGTTGCATGATTTAACTAATGGGCTTGTGCGCCCTCATGTTTTATCAGTTGGATCTTTCTCTATCTTTGTGCATATCCTTTGTAATAATAATAATAAAAAAAAAGGACAGAAAACTGACCTAATCACATGGTGCATGAGGTATATGAGTGGATGAGAGAGAATGTGGCTCTTCCTTCCTATATGGGATTTCGGCTAGACCAAAGGGAGTGGGGGAAGAAATCGACAAGGTTTTGGATAGTAGGAGAGCACATGACCTCTCAGAAGCTTGGAGTCTCAATTCATTTTCTTTTCTTTTGTTGGCTATTTTGCAGTTAGTCATTGTAGAGTTGTCCTTCACTTTTCCATCATTGTCACTAGAGAATATTAAGCAGCTTATACATGCTGAAACAAGAATTTCTAGCATGATCTTCTCATTGATTTGTTGTTCAACCTCTCCATCTTTTTGGGTTTCAAGAGCGTGTGAATAGCTCCAATGTTTTTAAGGTTCAGTCTTGTGCATGCGGCCTGCTGTGGGGATATTCTCTCATGATCTTGAATAAATGATGCACGCATGATCCTTCAATCGTGTCATTGTATCAATTATTCAATTAAATAACTTCATTTTGGGCATGATAGCCATTTTTTTTTGGTGATATGGTCAAATGTTAAATTATCCAACTGAATTAAGTTTGTTGTCTATGCATTGTGTAGTAAGTCATTTTCATTTGATAACTTGGTTGAGTTTTTATTATCATTGTTGATGCGTAATACACTTCATTTAGTGTTTGATACATGTGAATTCGCAGGTGACAATGCCCCAGAGCAGCGTGATCATTCTTACTGACCCAGCATCTGACTTTTCATTGCACAAAAATAGGGTCTTTCTTTATCCTATTCAAGGTGAATATTCACGAGACAAGTTGATGCTTCAAAGGATCAGGTCTTACATTGTAAGATCATGTTGCATTCATGGTAGATTGAGCATTTATGGAGGTTTAAATTGTTGCTTTTCATATCATTCAATGTATTTCCTTCATTTGTCCACCAGTTTATGTCTTCATGATAATTTTAATGGCACAATTAATAGTTTGTGGTTATACTTTTAATGGCTCAGCTGGTTGAAGTCTTCCCTTGTTTATGATAGCTTTCCACTTTTTCACTTTGATATTGATGGGAACAATAAATTTAGTGAGGTCGATCCTCTGGGAGAAACAGAATTAACGAGTAGCAATGTAGCATGACTAACTGTAGTTGGGACCAGGGAGTTCAGGAGAGAGAATGTGAGAGAAGCACTGGGAAATATAAGGTTGGTTGAGTGAGTTTGAGTTTGGGAATGTTTTGAAGCTGGGGAGAAATTGGACTCTTAAAAACAAGGGAGCAGTCCCTTTCTTATTTCTGTGGCTTTTCTGCTTCTTTTCTGGACATACTACTGCTGACAGGAGAATTCTGCTTTTTTGTCATTAAATGATAAAAGCAGAGTCAGTTTCACCATATATTTGATCTCCTTATTTGTCTTGTATCATACTTTTATGTCATTATTAGAAGAATGCTAATATTTATCTTTTTAAAATGAATATCATTTGTTTGGCAGTTTTTTTTAGGAACAAGCTTCAGGAGCTTTCTCAGAGGCCAGCAAGTACCACACACTATATTTTCACTGATTCTGATATAGCAGTGGTTGATGATCTGGGACATGTTTTCCATGACCACCAAAATTTTCATCTCGCGTTGACCTTCAGGAACAATAAGGCTCAACCTTTGAATTCAGGATTCATTGCAGTGAGGGGTACTGCTGATGCAATTTTGAGGTGCATAAATAGATCTGCCCGGATTTTTATCTGAAGTGAATGTATTTCATATTGGCCTGAAATGTCACCATTTTGCTATTGTTGCTAAACGAAAATGATATGATTACAAACTCTGGGAAATAGTGATGAGTCATGATATCATGTATAAATACTGCCAATTGATGTTCTATATTGGTATGTTTTGTTTTGCACTTGGTTATTACCTTCAGCGATATGATTCTATTTCTTAATGAAGCATTTCTCTGTAATCATTAGATATTTAGATATCATTTTCTTTTCCTCTCTTTTGCCTTATTTTTATATATTCCCTTGACTTAAACAATTTGGGGAAAACGCAGGGCAAAGCTTTTCCTACAAGAGGTTTTGAAAATTTACAGCTCAAAATACATGAATGCTTCTCGGATGCTTGGTGATCAATTAGCTCTTGCTTGGGTCGTGAAGTCCCATCCTTCTTTTGATGCCAGCAGGTTTTCAAAGCCCCTGTCTTTCACTGAAGACATTGGTGGTACTTCGGTACTGTTCTTACCTTGTGCCATATACAACTGGACACCACCTGAGGGTGCTGGTCAATTTCATGGCATGCCCTTGGATGTTAAGGTATAATATTAATTGCAGCCTGCAGTAGATATTTACCTGGATGCCTGATCTTCTTTCTTTTTTTTTTTTTGGGGGGGGGGGGGGGGAATTGTACTAATTGTCTTTGTGTTTATACTAAACGTGCCGTTTTGTTCAAATTGAAAATAAAAGTTGCCATTACTCTGTGCCAGTTTGGATCAGCTTAAAAAGGCATTTTTGCGCTTTATGAGATAAATATGTGAGAGGAGTTTAGTCTCGTAAAGCTTAAAAGTGCTTTTTTTAAGTGAAGGCAAATGGGCACTCTTTTTTTTATTTTTTTTATGGAAGATGTAAAGTTTTCCAAAAGTTATCAATAGTATTTTTCGCATCAGCAGACTCTCCTTAGTTCCAGATTGTTTACGTTTTGAACAATTTTGCATCTCTTATCAAACTTTTGTGTAAATGCGCTGCTTAAAACCACAAGGACTGAATCGGAGCCCTTTTAGTGAAACCAAAGGGACTGAAGTAAAAGTAAGCAATATTTAACTAAAGTTCTTGTATGGGATTTATTTTTTTAATGCAGGTTGTACATTTTAAAGGATCAAGAAAACGCCTAATGCTCGAGTCTTGGAACTTCTATAAATCCTCTCCCATCATTGAAGACATGTTATGCCTCATTCTGGCAAGTGGACGAACCAAGTATGATTTTTGAAGTTCACTGGAGAATTACTTGATATTTTGTGCAGACATGCCTCACAACTTAGGAGAATGGTATAGCAGGAAATTTTTTCACCCAGATATATCCACCCCAGCTTCAGGTGTGGTAGATTTGTTATTTTCACGAGAGTTCTTGGCATATTTGTAAGACAAATATTTCACTCAGACTCTGAAGATAATATAGAATGTAATGGTACTCTCATTTATGACTTCCCTTTTGCGTCCTTTTGCCGAGGAGATTGTAGATGGCATAGTACTTGTGGGGTTTTTTCAAAGATAGCTAGTGTGGGTCCGAAGTCTTAAAAAATAGCTTTATTACTCATTTATGAATAATATAGTTTATTAGAGTTTTTATATTGCCTGTTTGGGAGCCTGATGATGGTTTTCACATGTACTGCGAGTGTTTGGCAGCTTAAAGATAACTATGTTGAGTTTACAATTGATTTTGATAAATATATAAAAGGTGTTTGGATTTTTTTTTAAAAAAGTATGGTTTTAAACTTTTACAAATCAATTTTATAAATATGTTACAACTAAATATATTCTCAAAATCATAACAATAAATCAATTTTATTCCCAGTCTATTCTTAATTTAAACACGCATTGTTAATGATTTGGGGCCTGCCAAACAAGCACTAGATCCACCAAGTTGTTAATGTTATTGTTGTATTGTTAATAATCAGACCCTTAAATATCCATTGCTCATCGTGATCACTGCTCAGGTGTAATGATTATATTTAGGAAAATATTCAAGATTTAAAATTCCAATGAAAAAAATAAGTACTATATTCTGGGCCAAGAGAAAAATTCGGGGACTCAGAAAGCGAAAATGTAAGCATTATATGTTGATATATTTATAATTGATTTTCTTGTCTTTTCAAACCGAATAACCAATCGTCCTTATTTCAATTATTTTCATGCAAGAAGTAAATTGTTTGAAAAAATTGGATTGGGAATGGCAGAAGGTAAACTAGTTTGTGAATTTAAATCTAGGGAGAATTTCATTAAACCCCTACTGTAGAGAATTAGTGTCCAGCAACACTTACAAGATTCTACAATTTCACTACACCCCCAAAACTAAAATAAAATTAAAATTTTAGGGTGAAAAGATAATAATACCCTTACTTTTTACTTTTTTTAAAAAAAAGAATAATTGTGGCCGGAACTCTGGTGACCAGCCAGTTGGAGCTTTGATCTTTGGCACTATCCAACTGAGCACTGGTGGCTGCTAGTCAGGGCTTCGGTCACCAAAGGATTTTTCACAAAGAAGGTGATTTCAACCCATGACCTCCTAATACACAAAAAAAATTATGACCACCAAATCAATCAATTCACTTACTCATATAATGCAAAAAAAAAAAAAAAGTAATAAAACAAATGCAATTGTCCAAGTGTAAATGAACATATAAATTCAGCTATTTGCAACACAAATTTAATGATTTACAATACAAATTCGGTGATTTACAAGAAACATAAAGGAATTCACAACCTCAAATACAAGTATTTATGTGTAAAAAAAGAGTAAAATTTGATTATTTATAACAAAAATTCAGTGATTTATAACTCTAATTTAGTTATTTACAAGAAACATAAAATAACTCATAACTCTAAATGCAAGTGCTTAGATGTGAATGATTAAATAAAATTTGGCAATTTATAACAAAAATTCAATGATTTACAACTCAAATTTGGCAATTCACGACCTCAAATACAACTATACAAGTGTTTTTGTATAAATGAACAAGTGAAATTCAACAATTTACTACAAAAATTCGTCGATTGACAACTCAAATTCAGTGATTTACAAGAAATATAAAATAATTTATAACTCCAAATATAAGTGTTTAGATATGAATGATCAAGTAAAATTTCATGATTTACAACAAAAAATTTGTGATTTACAACCTAAATTTGACGATGTACAAGAAACATGCAGAAATTCATAGTCCCAAATGTAAATGTTTATCTTTTTTGTAAATCACTGAATTTGTGTTGTAAATTACTAAATTTATGTTGAAATTACCAAATTTCACTTGTTCATTTACATTTGAATACTTGTTTATTTACATTTGAACACTTGCATTTGTTTTATTACATATATATTTTTTTTGTACCATATAATCAATTGTATTAATTGGCTTAGTGGTTATAAATTTTTTTTTTATCAAGAGGTTATGGGTTCAAATTCTCCCGACCACCTTCTTTGTGAAAAATATTCTACTGACTAGAGCTTCAATAACCGACCATCAGAGCTCAGCTAAAGGTTAGAGCTCCAACCGACCAGTCAACAAAGCTTAGGCGACAATTAATCTTTTTTTTTAAAAAATAAGGGAGTTATTGTCTGTTCATCCTAAAATTTTAATTTCATCTTGTTCCTAAGGGGTTCAGTGAAATTTGGAATCTTATGAGGATTGTTGGACATAAATTCTCTACAATAGGGGTTTAATGAAATTCTCCATTATTTTTTGACTTTTAATATTTTGAATGGCAAAAGTTATTAAAATCTAGAATTTGATTTTTTTTTGGGGGGGGGGGGTCATTGGAAGAGGAGGGGGTAATCAGAGGATGAGCCGGACATAATTTAATGGTGATGGCCATTGTTGCTAATGGTGATTGTTATCGTACAATAATTTTTTTTATGGAAGTTATCGTACAATAATTAATTAAAATTATGTTTTTGGGAAAAAAAATTGAATTGGTTAAACAAGTAAATAGAAATATAACCAAAATATTATCGTTACACATGACATTCCAAAAACAGCTACTTTGATACTATATAAGAAGTGTTATTTCGGGGTTTGAAATATTTTATCTTCGTATATTCTTGTTTTATGTAAGTGTTATTATCTAAATATTATTCATGCATAAACAATAACAACAAGCTACTTAAAAACTGTGAATTAAATTAAACAAAACTTAGCGGAAATATTTGGACTAAATTATATAGATGGAAAAATTAGAGTGAATTATATAAAATTTTGAGAGAATTACAATGAGATATTAAAGAAAAAAAATAATTACAAAACAAATTTTAGAAGTCGTCATTTTCTATTTTAAAACTTGTCAGGCTACTTAGTTGTTGTTAAGATTTTTTAGTAATTTTTTTTTTTTTGAGATCGCATTGTAATTCCCTCTAAAACTTTCTTAAACTTTAAATTGTATATCAATTACCTCTTTAACCTCTATAATTTAATAATAAAATTCCCTAATTTTTTTTCCCAATAACCTCCCTAACTTTTAAATTATGCATATGGTTTTAATCGTTATTTATGTACTATATAAATTTTATTTTTATATACATGTGATTTTTAATATTTTCAGTGTTTTGTGGGGAGCCTAATATTTTGAGTTATATGTAGATCACTCCTATGTATGGCACAAAAAAATAAAGGTCACTCCTGCACGATTGTCTAAAAAATAAAAAATAGAAAGGTTTCAAATCCTATTATTAATACGAAGACTTTGGTAATTTATAAGTACTTCTATAGGTGGTTTTTAAACACGGAAGCCTCGATCTTGGTGAGGAGTTTACTCAAGTTTTTTCTAACAAAAAAATCGATTATTTTTATATCACATGAGGTTATGGAATATATAATTTGACTAGGGTGTGTTTGGATGAAACCAAACTGTGGTTTGGAAAAGTGATTCTGGAGAATAGATTCTGGGGAGAATAGATTCTGTGAAGAATAGATTTTATAAAAAAGTGATTCTGAGAAGTGAGAGTGTTTGGATAGTTGTTATCAGAAACACTTTTTATATATACAAATCACTAAAAAAAAGATATAAGTTAATATGATAATTACAGAAAAAATAGATTTTATGATATATTTTAATTTGAAGGAATAAAATTGTTAATAATATATTTTTTACCAACATAATTAATAATACATAAGATAATATAATTAATAAATAATTAATATATATATATTTATAAAATATAAGATTAAATATGTTTATAAAAAAATATGTTTATAAAAAAATAACAAGATACATATCATATAGGCTCTCACACTCTCCCTTTCTTCTCCAAAAGCAAAAAATTTTTGCTTTTTCCAAAACCATGGTTTTGGTTTTTTGGGGGGTGTTTGGGTGATTAATTCCCCAAACCATGGTTTGGGGTGTCACCCAAACACACCCTAAGGGTGTTTGGCTAACATTTTTCCCAAACCATGGTTTGGAGTGCTTGCCAAACACACCTTAGAAAAAAATCAAAATCATGGTTTGCGTTCAAAACTATGGTTTTGAGAAAAGCAGAAACTTTTTACTTTTGGAGAAAAAAGGGGAGAGTGTGAGAGCCTATAGGATATGTATCTTGTTGTTTTTTTTATAAACATATTTTTTATAAATATATTTAATCTTATATCTTATAAATATATATACATATTAATTATTTATTAATTATATTATCTTATATATTATTAATATATGTTAATAAAAAATATATTATTAACAATTTTATTCCTTCAAATTAAAATATATCATAAAATATATTTTTTCTATAATTATCATATTAATTTATGCCAATTTATATATATAAAAAGTACTTCTAATAACAACTATCCAAACACTCACACTTCTCAAAATCACTTTTTCACAAAATCTATTCTTCCCAAAATCTATTTTTTTCAGAATCTATTCTCCAGAAGTTATTCTCCAAACCATGGTTTGGTTTCATCCAAACACACCCTAAATATTTAACAAAATTGATTTTTTGCGTTGGCAAAAATAATGGTTTTTGAACTACTTATAACTCCCATTCGTGAAGTCAAAGGTTGTCTCGCCTCTCATGAGTCATGAGTTTACGAGTTTATCAGTCTGTAACTTTTTAGTTTCAGAGCCTTTTTCGGGGAACCTGTTCATGAGGTCGCAAGTTTGATGCATAATCCAAATTTTAAAGTAAGAATCTTTGGGAAGAAGCTCTCTCTCTTGATCATCCATGGAAGCCACAAAGCCGCTAGTAAATACGACGACCGCCAAACTTAAGCTAGCGGCTCTTTTATGGCTCGAGGGTTTCAAGGAGGCCTGTTGTCTTCATCGCGTTGTAATTCTGTGTTCAAGGTCCTTCTCTTACTCATCTTTCCATTTTGCATTCTTATGCGTCGGCTTTCTCTCTACTGTCTGTTTTGTTTCCCAGAAACCCATGGTAAAATTTGAGAAAACAATTTTCATAATTTTATATTTTATATTCATCTATATTGGTAAATTTGTTCTGTCAATTGTGAGTTTCTGTGATCTTTTCAATTAATTTAGGCGGTAAAATCCATGTCATTGTAAAATTAAGGATAAAAATATGATGATGAGGTTCTCAAATTGGGTTACTTCCTTTCTTTGCTTTCTATATAGTCAAACAGAGCTCTGATCGGATAATGTTTATCTGCTTTCTTCTCTTACTTCTGTTTTTCTGGCATAGGTCTAGGAAGCTTTTGGTGCGGACCGGGCAGTGCTTTCTCTTAAATGGTTTGATTTTCTTAGGAAGGTAATTTCGCTGTCTTCAATCATATTTTCAGTTATCACAATGTACATTCAAATGTAGTTCTAGTAAACCTGTTAGTGGTAAACCTGATGATCTTCTTCCAATCTTATTAATTATTTCGCTGATTCTGGAAAGTCTCAGGTACTTAATTATATAGAATTGAGCTTTTACACTATCAGCGAAAAACTACTTTCATCAATGTGCAAGTCGTATTTTACCTTTTTGTAATGCTAACGTTTATTAAATTAGAGTATTTGAAGTTCTAAGCGTGTGTAAGTTTAAAATGGCGAGTCCATTTGACTTAGGATGGTTATATTCCTGCTCTGTTCCATGTTAAAACAAGGTGGGGGGTCTGGCTTCCATAAATTAGATGAAGCTTAATTTGCATGATAATTGATATATTGCAGTTATTAATTATGTATATACTTTATATTATAACAGTTTGAATATGGATTTAGCTTCAAAGGAATCAATTTATCTTTGGATGATTGTTGGATAACTAAGTGAATGTGGTTATTAACTAAGTCTAGTTGAGAAAACTAAACAAGTGCAATAGGAATTCTCGTGTCTCCAGTTTATTTTTTCCTCGTGACTTCAAGTGTGTTTGTTGTGAGGAGCACTTAGATTTCTGCGTTTGGAAGAACTTGCTACCCATCTAACTGGTCTGCATAAAACATTTGGTCTGGTTCCTTTTTAAATATTTTCTGTTTTGCTTTTTTAACAAGTGGACGGTGTTCATGACGAATTTTATGAATTAAAAAAAAGCATGATAGGTGGGTTTTATTTATTTATTTATTTTTATTAATATGAGGAATTGTATGACTGATAAGTTGATGAAGTTCAGTTTTTACTATTAATGATCTTCTTTCATATAATCGCTTTTTTTCCTGGTTATCATCTGTTGGTTAATGCCTACATACGTTAGAGGTCAATGGCTTATACAATCTTGTATAAATATTCTATTAAATTATTTGAACATCTTCAAATCTCTGTACAGTTTATTCGTCCTGAACTCAGTTGTCATCCCGACATTGCAGTGGATATTGCCTGATCAGTGCTCACAGTTCAGTTCTCGTAAATTGTGCGGCTTTGGTGGCATTTTGAAATTTTATTCTTTCTTACGTCGTGGACTCATTCATTTCTTTTATGTAAGTATGTAGTTACAATCATCTGACCCTGATGTTCACACTTTTTCTTTATTAAATACAGGGCTGCTTGTATCTTGACAGGATTTTTGGGTTATCTATTACTATGTGTTTATATATTCAAATTTATTTTACTGATCATTTCAAGATAGCCATGTACTCACCAAGAGGCTTCTTGAGTATTATTGATGAAATATTCAAGATGCTTGTCTATATTTTTTAGATGCTGTGATTTTCTGATTATTAGAGCTCATGTTAACCTGCATGTAATTGTTCCTTGCAGGTCTTTTGGTTTTACCCATTATATGTGTTCAGCATAATTTTAAGCGCTATCTGGTAATACTATGCTTTAAATCTTTCATTTGCGTTTGTTGTTAGTTGTCAAATTATTTGGTATTTGTTTGCTTCTTTTGAAATAAGTTACGGAACTTTAATAATTTAGGCAGAAAAGTGCTATTAGGAAGAAGATATTAATATATTGGATCCTTTAGCCTGGATGATTGTTGTGGATTGAAGTGGTCCATGGAAGCCCTCTTTTTTTTTTTTTTTTCTGTGATGAAAATCCATGGAAAGCCTCTTGACTTCAGTTACTGACATCAAACTGCAGCTAACAGCAATGATTTCCATTCCCATGATACTTCTGGCTTCTTCTCCGCTCTAATACCTCTAATGAGTAGTGAAGAACTTCTCTAAGTTCTGTGACCTAGTCCAACTTTAATTAAAATTCCTTATACTTTACTATCCTTCCATGAGAAATTAGAACTTGAGAAGTAGATCTTCCGTCAGAGATCAGCCCAGGTGCTTTAAAAATTTTGAATAGCAACAAGAAATGTTTCAATATTAGAATGATGATTGGAATAAAAGCTCAAATTCTTCAACATTCAGATTTAACAAATTTAAGAGTTGATCAAGTCAACCCTGATACTTAAAGAATGTTATGCTTTCAGGTACAATGACATTGCCAAGCATGGGTATGACGCTATAGATAGATCCAAGTCTCCTGCAGAGGAAGGTTCCAGCCAAACTAAATCATCGGATAAAGCAAATGCTTCCAACATCAAAAGGCTTTCTGGCTTGGGACGGTAAGTATAGAGTCCTGGAAACTTAACAGTAATTCTTACCATTTAAATCATGCATTGAATGGTTGAGCTATATTGTATTTTCTTAATCCAGGTTCATGATTGAGACTGGAGAGCTGGTTTACTCAATAATCCTTTTGAGTGTATTCTTTCTCAAGGTGATAGCCGTCATCATCATCATCACACGTGCGCATGTGCGCACACATTTGTATTTGATTTTGCAAGAATGTCAACTCTCTTCAAATGAGTTGATTTTGTAATTCTTGTTTGAATTTTAATAAGAAAGTTGTGATTGGCGTGCAATCAATATACTTTTTCTTTTATCATATGCAGGTCTATGCTACAGGTTTCATACCTTTCATAGGGAAGATGCTCAATTTTTTACTTCTTTCCTGGATGTATGCATATTACTGCTTCGAGTATGTCCTTTATCAACATCTTAGCTTGATGTCTTCTCTCTTCTGTTGTGTTTAAGATTTTTATTTTTATTTTTTCAAATCTTTTGGTAAATAATATTTTCTTTTGAATTAGGTACAAATGGAATTTTAATAAAGTTCCTTTGGACAAAAGACTGGACTACTTTCAGTCCTCCTGGGCATTTTTTTCTGGGTTTGGTAATATAATTCTTTTCATTTGCGACTCATCTTCACGTCATTTACATTTTCACTTTACAGGGTATATAACCAACGCACGGACTGCTTATGTTGTGTTTCATCTTCCTTATCAACCTCAGTTGCATATATGTATGTTGTGTCTGCATCTAACAGTTCACATCACTAATTTCTCATCACTGTCGTGCCATGTCATTGCCTTAGGGCTCCATTGGTAACTGTTAAGAATTTAGGGATTGGCTCTGTAAGTGTTTTATAAGATAGGGACATGTTTAAAAGCTAAGCTATTGGGGCCTATCAACCTACTTACTAATGCAAACTACAAGGATTGATAGAATAATTTTTCCCAAGCTAAAATCTTTGCACATTATACTAACAATGGTTTTCTGCTTTGCTGTGACATAGAATTACAATATGGTGCAAAAATTTATGGCAGCTCTTTTTCCCCCCAATTTACATTGAGTTTTCTTTGTCCTTACAGGAAGCCCCTGTGTTTTGGCTATATTTTTTTTCTCGCCACTTGTCAGTTATGGGATTATGGCTATTCTTTTCCCACTGGTATGTTTGTTTCCCTCCCTCCCCAAAACAAAGTATTTTCTTCGTGCATTTGTGCTTTTAATTTTCCTTCCTTGATATTATACTATTATGAATCAATGATAGTGGTTTTTATTTTTCAGTTTGTTTTAACTGCGACTGGGTCCAAGGTTGATCAAGAAATATCATTTGAAAAAAGCAAATGGAGAGGCGTAAGAATGGGACGGCTTCCAATATTTCATATTGCACATAAAGTGTCGTAAGCTCTGCAACACTCATCTCTTTGCTCTAGAGACATGGCACTTTCAAGCTTAACTACTTGACTAATGACTTAAAAGGCATCAATCTGGTGATTAATGAAGTTTAATCATCATGATAATAACTATGAGTTAATGCAATAATGATTTAAAATGCATTGAAGCAATGATTGTTCATCAATTTTGAGGTCCTTATATCATTAATCAACAGTCTATCCCTTTGTCATTCCCTCCCTTTTAATACCGCCTCTGAAAAGGATGGTATAATTATGATGCAATGTTTCTAGCAAATTACCGACTTCCCAGCAAGTTGTTCCTAGGTTAGTTTGATGTAGTTGAGATGCAATCCTTTTCTTTCCAAAGTTATATACTACCTCCGGTCCTAAATATAAAAGCTAGTTGACTAATTTGAGTAGATTAAGGAAATAAGTTAAGTTAGTTATTTGTAATAAATAGGTGTTGTGTTTCCTAAAATATTCTCACTAATCAAGTGCATTGGCTAGATCTATCATTATTATTAGGATTATCTTAGAAAAAAAACATAAATATGAGAGACAAAGTAGATTGGGATCTTATATTTAGGACCAAAATAAAAGTCAAATAAGGTCTTATATTAAGAACCGGAGGTAGTATTTGTTATCCCAACTATAAGAACTATTTGGAATTATTGGGAGCTTGTTTTCTTCAGAGTGCTTTCACAGTTTCCTCTTCTTTTTTTCAGTTAAAAGTGTAAAGATCCTGGTTGTAACATCAAAACTCAATGAGAAGTTGCCTATTCCTGTTTGAGCTTAGCATGAAAACTCAAAACCTTGATTGGGGAGAGTAAATCATTGTTTTATTGAAACTATTGCCTCGTATAAGCTGCTCTTTGAGATAGTTGACAGCTGTTGGGGCCGTAGTATTTCTTAGTTTGTTACTATGGAAACCCAACTGTTTACTGATTGGTTGAATTGTTTTCTCCATGCTGACTTTCAACTGAAAGGTCGGTTAAAAAGAGTAATTTTCATGCATTGACTAAAAGATCATGATTTTTCCTTGTGTGAGGTATGTTTTAAGAGTTCTGTTCATCCTATCATACGGAAGAATTGTTGTACTCTGCGCGTTCTGCTAGGATACCTAAAGTAATGTTTTTTTAGGCTGAGATAGATATATAAAGCTGTTATATCTACACTCAGCATTGCGCTTTTTATGTAATTCAGACCTATGCCTTACCTTAGTGTGTGTTTTGGTTTTTAGTTGGAAACCACCAAAACGTCAAACCAGACACGGTCATAGGCGTTATAAGTCCAAAATTTAACTTTGAACCGTTTGACTCTGAACCTTTACATGTTATGTCCCCTGCTATGTCTGTATTGGATCATTTTCTATCCCACAGGTGGGAAAGATATGTTTAGATTGGCGAATTTCTGATAAGTTTTATGGTTATGGCCTGTATGATAAATTCAGATAATTATTGCCATATGAATTTTACTATTATAATTTTAACTTGATTTTTCCACTTGCCTTGATTGGTCCCTCTGTAGTAGATGTGGATGTTATCTTTGCTTCCCTTGGAGAATAAAGACCGGACAAAAGACAACAAAGCTCAATGATATGTAAGGAACACAGTGATTTTGTCCAGAGGGACTCTATTTTAATTTGATTCTGTACTATGCTTTCTATTGTTAATTGTTACTCCCTCCGGTCCTATGTATAAGATGCAGTTTTTTCTGGCTGGGCATGGTTCTATTTATAAGATATATGTCTAAAATTTTAACCAGTTTTTTCTGTTTTTGCTCACATTAATCACATGCTATATTACTGCAGTAATTATCTCATACATCTCTTTTTCCTACTCATTGTCTCTCTCTCATTTACTCTCCCCTCTATAGATAAGGGTATTTCTGAAAAATAAAATACTTTTTTAATGCATTTATTGTCTTCAATCAATTTAAACCAACTTCTGATCATATTGTTTGCAATATTGCAATGTATGCTTTCTTTTGTTTGGATGTAGACAAAAAAGCTTGTTTCGGTCCTTAAAAATTGGCATGATAATGAAGATTAACTCAATTCTTGCATTTTGAAATTATGATTTTATGGCAATTTCACCTTTTCAAGGGTATTAAAATGAGATCGTACAAATTTTGATGATCAAGTGTTCTAATTCTGGGAAATAAAAATACTTTTCACTTTGTTCATGTTTTTTTCTTTAAGTAATAAACTCTTACCTGTTTGAATGAAGCAGATAAAGTGCTTTACGACAAGCGGATGGGTGGGATGCTGTGCTATGGCGTGTGCATGCCGCATTACTAAGATTCATCTTCTTTTCGTTTTAATGAGAAGAACCATCCTTCTCTTTGTATATCCTTGTATTGAAGATTTCTTTTGGGCCGGACGATATTATTTGTACAGTGTCAACTAGATGTTTTTGGTGGAAACTGATGGAGAAGAGTTCTTTGATTGATTCCAAGTTAATGACTTATGAGGCTTAATACTCACAAAACAATGTGCAACTCTTCCATTACAATTTCCTTGTCATGAATTCTGTAGCGGAAAGGTTACCTTGGAAAAGAGGTTTTTATAGGTCTTTGGGTTCTTCTACTTTTAACACAACACTAATAACAAAGTCTTATCTTACTAGTTGAGGTTGATTATGTGGATTTTATGACGTCATTGAGCTTTATCGAAAATCAAATCTATGGGTATATTGTTAATCAGAAAATCTTGCTTAATAATTTCATTAAATGTTCTTTTTTGGTAGGGCTGTGCATCAAACCCGAGACCCAGTCTAACTTGTCATAACTCGGTCCAGTCTGGTTCTACCTAATCTATAAAATAACAATTTGATAATGACATCGGGCTGACCAGATAGGGTGTTTTACTCAGTCAGATTGGGTTTCGGACTAATATGTCTAACCACTTGGTCTAGTCCAACTCGGTATTAATATATATACACATTTTAAAATTTGATAAAGAATACAAAAATAAGTGCTATACCCATTCGGCTGTTCTGCTTCCACCAACAGTCATTGGTCGTTCCAAACTTCCAGTTTTCCACTTTTCCACTCCTTTGCTCTAAGTCTGTTAGTTTTGTTGATTTGTGCTCTTAGATCTCTTGGCTTTGTTGATCTCGGCTTTAAAGGATCCTCAAGCCTTCATGCATCTTCGATCTTGGGTTGTCAAATCTTTGCTTTAAAGTCTGTGGCTTTAGCTTCATCTTAGATCTAAAATTGATGTTGATGGCTTCATCTTAATAGCATGCCTCATGGACAAACAACAAATCTCATCGCAAGGAGGAAGAAGAGAGATGTTGTTATGTGAAAAGATATCTTACTCATTCTTACAGAAGGCACACCATTAATTACTTTCTTCATACATCCTAAATCTTGCCACCAAGAGGAAGAAAAGAAGAGGCTTGCGTCTAATTACAAGGAGGAATGATGGGTTTAGGGTTTTCTTTTATTTGGGCTAGGCTTTGGCAATTTTTTAAAAATTGTGTGGTCATTTTTTTCATCAGGACCAGTCTGGAAGTCCAGTATAACCTAATCCGGTCTTAATAGAGACCAGGTTGTGTTCGAGTTAGATTGGACTATGGACTAATTTTTTTTAGCCCGGTGTTATTTCAGATTGGACATCAGGTTAGGGTGTAACCCAGTCCAACTCGGTCTTTGAACACCCCTACTTTTTGGTATTCTTCTAACCTTTCTTAGAGGGCTTCATACTGTTTGCTTAACCCTTCTCATGGTACATTCAAAGGCTTTCTTTGTATGTGAAAAAACTATCTTAAATGATTTTCAACCATTTTCTCATCAATAACAGCCACTCTAATAGTTAGCTTTTAGTCGGCATAGAAAAAAATAGTTAGCTTTTAGGGTGTGGTTTTCAAGGACTTGTGTTTGTTACGTCTTATATAGGGCGAGGATTTTAATATTTCACTCTCACTCATTATGAATGTTGGAATAAAAACAAATCCAGGTTTGTTGGATTAGGCCCAATCCCAAGAGGCTTGGGGTTTAGTTGTAATTTACTAAAAATCAGGATAGATATTAGTAAAATACCCATTTTATGTTTATTTAAAATATTATCATATGGGGAACAGGCTTTTCTATGTGGAGAACAACTTGTAAACTAGTGAAGATATATGTGAGTGTATTCCTCTCAATCGTATTATCAAGGAAAAAAACAAAAACTCTCTCCTCTCTTTCTCTACATTTGCTGTATATCAAAAATCCAACTCCATCTACATGGCCGGATTATGTGTGGGTACTAGGAGTATTCATTTGTATTTCAGGTATGCCCGAAACCTGCATTGGTATCAGAGCATGAGTTTTTGCTATGGCTTGTATTTTTTTTTTGTTCTTACTACTCATCCATATCTCTTTGTTTGTGAGTTCCAGTTTGACTATAATGTGATTTGCTCTCTGTAAATATTAAGCAAATCCTTTCTTTACTTTCTTCTACTGTAATTTCTCACTGCATATATTGTTTCCTGTGTGTGAGTTACGATTTTCCCTTAAGTATGGATGTATTTGTTCAATTTTCTGTTAACGTACATATTGTTAACTACAGTAGAAGTGCAAGGAAATGGTTTTATGGATTATTGGAAAACCTTTAAAAAGAAAACTTGGAGACATAAGACTTATTCTTTTGCATCAGAAAGTTTAGAGCTTATGTTTTTCAAAATTAAGTCTCTTCAAAATCAAGTTTTTAGGCTTTAAAACCTATCCCATTGTATAGAGGATGCGAAAATGAAGAAAACAATATATAGAAAGAAAAACACTGATGTCAGACGATGGAAGAGAGAAGGTATCGGGTCCGACAAACCCAACCCTATTGGCACATCGGGTCTAAACAATCTGGCTGGAGGTTGAAGATAACCTCCAAGAAAACAGCATCATTTTGTCTAGAGGGGCCTCCTTCCCCCACTTAGCAAAATGCAGTGTTTTGCTAAGTGGCTTTAAAAAAAGAAAGGACGAAGGCCAGTAATTCGTGAGGCCTAAATATTTTTAAAAAAATTCTTGTGTTAGGTCTAAGTGGTTCCCAGGGTCTAAATTTTTTTTTTTCAAAATGAGGCCCAAGAACAAAAAAAATATAAACAAATAAATTGAAAAAAAACCTAAAACCGCCACGTGGCATGTGACGGCACGTGGTACGTCTGTTCACCATGTGGACACTAAGACCTGAGAGGTAGTGGCACGTGGAGGCTAAGGGTCTAACAGGTGTCATCATCAAAGACCTCCATGGTGGCATATGAACTTTGCCAGATTTTTTCATTTTTTGAGGATTTAGTCTTCCTAGGACTCGTGTAGGCATGTGAGATTTTGTCTCTAAAAATCCCTAAATTCATGATCTTAACTATGATATGTGATTTGCCTATTTTGAAAGGCAGTTTGGGATTTATTTTTGAGTTTTTTAGTGTCTTTATAATGATAGGCTTCCGCAATACGAATCATCAAGTGATGACTTTTGAGGAGCTAGAGATGGAACCAGAGGAGAACTGTGAGATGGGTCTCAAGGAGGATCCAGAGATGGACCCTAAGGAAGATTCAGAAATGGACATTTTGGAGGACCTAGAAATAAACTTTTGAGAAGACCTAGAGATGGACATTAAAGAGAACCCATAAATAGATCCTGAGAAAGACCTAGAGATGGACATTGAGGAGAACCCCAAGATGGATCCAAAAAAGGATCTTGAGAAAGAAGATCTCCTTGAGCATGGTCCCATGGAACAAATGCAAGAGCTTTAAGAAATTTATATAGATTCCAAACTAGAGTCAGTAACTTTCTATCCTTATGGACCTCTTGAAGAAGATGAAGAAGTAAATGACCTTCTCACTCCTGCTTTGAGAAGGAGGATAGCGAAGTACGATGCAAAAGGAATTAAAATTGTCAAGGACATAAATAGAGTTCTTAAAAGATATGTTATAAGCATGTACAACAATGAAAGCGTTAACTTCTACACTAATGTCATGATGATGTTTTATGAAGAAGTTAGAGCTAAAAAGAAATGGGAATTAAAGAACGCGTGGGTTTGCGCTGTAAACATAGTGGATAAGAATCACATCAAATCACCCGAACTTAGAAAGGCTCTTATAAGTTTTTGCACATACTTTTGATTTTTTTATTTTATAGTTATTGCATGAAGAGTCATAGTTCTTTGTAATGTTTTTAATGTTATGACTTGATTTATATGCAATTTTTGTTTGATATTTTAGCAATTATTGATATATCCTTCTTGAGTGTGAGCTTTTTAAGAGATAAATCTTCTAAAAGTTATATTTTATTGGAAAGTACTTGTATTTTAAATTCTTCACGGAATCCAATGATGATGCTAGACTCTATGTGATAGGAGGTACAAACGTACTCTCTTGATCATGGATCTACCATTGTCATTATTTTCTTATCAGGAATAATATAAATACAAGACATTGTACATTACGTCGATGCTATATAATTATTTATATGTCCTTTAATTTTTGTTGGTTCTTGTATAGGGAACAATCTTTTAATGTGGAATAGCTTTGTCATATAATTGAAAATGGCAACAAAAAACATTATGGCTTAACTAAATAAGGGTGAAAAACTTAATAGGGACAACTGGGATATTTGGCACCAAAATGTGCAATACATTTTAGAGGAACAAAAAGCTTTAGAGCCCTTGGTTGTCCTAATGAAAGAACTTGAAGTTGGAAACACAGCTCAACATCGAAGAGATCAAAAGCTCTTCCAAACTTGAAAAAGGAAAAATATCATTGCTAGAATCATTCTATTGAGCACCATGACTGACGATCTCATGTGTAGTTCAAAAAGTTTGATATTGCTCAAGCCATGTGGACAGCCCTAAAGGACAAGTTTGATAGTATGTCCACAACTAAGTTTAGAAGGCTAACGATTAAATTTAATACCTATAAGCTTAAGGAGAACACTCCCATGAAGCAATACTTGAGGAAGATGTCCAACATGATAAGAAAACTCAAAGAGGCTGGGTATACCTTGACTGATAAACAACAAGTTCAAGCTGTGATACACTCACTTCCTTCTAGCTGGGAATACATGAAGGTTAACCTTACCCATAATGAGAATATTGTCACTTTTAATGATGTGGCCAAATACCTTGAACTAGAAGATGAGTGCTTAGAGGCCTACAAATCCTCTAACTAGGCCTATTATCATGGTATTAAAAACTAGATCAGACTTGCCAATTTAGACTGAAAACTAGTGAACCGGCCCCTAGTCTGGTTCGGTTCTTCCCTTAAATTGAAAAATTCTAACTCGAATCAAACTAGTCTAAATCAGCGTGACTCGGACATAAACCGGTTAACTCGCTAGTGGAGCAAGTTACTCGGGTTATTTTCGTTTTGCCTTGCACCTTGCCATTATAAGGAAGAAAAGCTTGAAGAAGACACAGAGATAGAAAGAGAGAGGCATGATAAGGAAGAACAAATCTTAAAAAGGAAAGAAAAAGATGAAAGAAATTACTCAGATATAGTTGTTAATGAAGAGGAGAATAAAAACCATTTGTG